TTTAGCAACTGTAAGATGGGTGCCGTCATCAATGCAAGTTTAAGGCAATTAAAAGCCTGCTAAGCTAGTTCAGACCATAGGAAGGCATCCTTCTTAGTCAACTCAATGAGGTCGACTGGAGAGAGCTTGGAGGGATTCACGTTTGTTTGAGTGAGGGAGGCCAAGGATGACGCAGCATGTATCGGGGCCCTGTACGTTCAGGCTTGAGTTCGACGATGAGAATCCAGCTAACCTCTTCTGTGGTTGATTTGAGTCGCGTGTGGTGGCTGAGGACCCATAATAAGGTTGGGTCGGGTTTTTACCCAGATTCAATTTGGGTCTGTTTAAGGCCATCTTCCCTTCGAATTCCAGAGCAAGGCTGAGCACATGATATACGCTCCTGGGTTTGAATTTGAACATCAAATCGAAGCTCCCCTTTAGCCCATTGAGAAACATGTCGAGAAGGCAATGTTCGGGCCAGTTTTTCACTCTAGCAACACGTCTTACAAATTCCTGTTGATGTTCCTATATAGAACCATCTTGCCTGATTCTGCATAAATATTCGTCCAGGTTCTGATATTTAGGTGGTCCGTAACGCCTTCACTAACTCATCCCATATAGTAAGGTATGCTCTAAATTTAACCATGAGAATAAATCCAAGGAATCTCCTTTTAATGACATAGATGCTATATCCACCTTTAATTCTTCTGGTGCATGATAATACTGAAAATATTTTTTAGCTTTAAGAATCCATCCTCGAGGATCACCACTGATAAATTTAGGAAAATTTATTTTGGGTTGAGGCAGACATGTCCCCCTCTTTTAATAATCGAATTCTTCTTCACTTTCCTCATCCCAGTTACGGTGTCTATGTTGGCTTTTTGGAGTCCTTCTACTTCTTTGTGTCACTGATGCTTCTAGGGCTTCTATCTTTTCTTGTAATATGTCAAGTTTCTCTAATTTAGAAGACATAAGAGCCAGATCATGTGCAAGCAGGTTAGGATTTTCTGGGGAAACATTGGATGGGTTATTGGGAGGGTATAGAACAAAATCTTGTTCTATACTTCTCTCAATAGCCACGCTTAGGAGAATCTCTAAAGGGTTTGAAAGACTATTTTATTTATTCATGATATGTTAGCTTCTAAGTTGCTAGTCATATTTATAAAGCTAAATACAATAAAATATTGAATAAAATTTAGATAACTAGAAAACTAAATAAAATCTCCTAAAATCCAAAATACTAGATAAAATCCAAATATCTAAAATACTGAATTAAATCTAAACTACTAAATAAAATCTAGGGAAATCTAAATAAAAACTAAATAGAGGAAAATACGAAATAAAATACTGAATCAAATAATCTATCTTAATTTATCCTATTTTATCTTCTGATGCTTCCTTCTTGAATAAGTCTTTATGGGCACGCTATCTGGAATCTTATCATTCACTTTGAAGAAAAGAAGATGAGAAAAGACTAGGCATGATATTGGAATCAAAACAGATCCTTTGCTTTTTGCACAGAAGTAGCACTCCATATAAGTGTAAACAATCTAAATTTACTAGTCTCTTTATTTTCAAGGAAGCAAAACATTAGTGAAAACAATTCGTTTGTCTTTAGAAGATTGTTTTTATCTTGTATTTTAATTTCCTGAAATCAAAAAATATATATACAAAACTGAATAGCTAGGAATAAAAATATGGATCTACCACATGGTAATTCTGTACAAGAAGCAGAAGATCTGCTTTGATATTGAAAAAGGTAATAAAGAAACATGTATGCGAGAAAAAAGCATGGCCTGGTTTAATATTGTAAAAAAATTACCCAAGGAAAACAGAAGCTATCACAAATACTTTTGGTAACGTTTCCCGGAAAAGTGTTCTTAGAAATTTGAAAATTGTCTCCTTACCTTTCCTAAATTATAAGTGAAAAGTCGTCTTTTTTATTCCTATTCTCCAGTCCACTTCTATGCTAAGAATATGTAGCTCCGCACAGAATTTATTTGAGCCAACTTCTATGTAATTTACAATTAGAAGTTCAACGTTAAATTTTAGTCTTCTATACTTATTTCTAAGAATATAAACCAAAGTTAAAGATTAATTACCGGTCTCATACTGATTTTGTTTGCAAGTGATGAACCCAACATTGCTGCATACCTGATCAATAATTATTTATGAAGTAAAAATTATCTACATGCAAGAACTCCAAGGTTGGAATATGATGTTAAAGAAGGAAGACATCATGGTCAGGGTTTTAGTACTTGACAAAAACAATTGGATGGACAAGTTCATGAACTCTAAATATCATTGAGGAGTTCGTAGTGGAGAGCAACAAAAAGGAATTACATTTTGGTCAGTCAACTCATTTGATCCTTATGATTGGAAAAATATATCTATTAAGCACATGCAGAAGTCATTAGTGATATAGGAAATCTAGAAAATAGATTTATACGTGCGCAGCTTTCAAAGTAAATATTTATATACACACACATGTTATGTTACTAAGAATATTTTGTAATTTGTCAATAGTATCTTTTCTTGGATGTTTTGAATGCTAAAAAAGGATTGCAACAAAATAAATTATGGAAAGGGAGTGAGATTATTCAAACATAAATAGAGGAGAGAGGAAAAATATCTCGATTTCAAGTAATGCAAAACCAGAAGCCGTCAAGTAAAATGAAGAGATGGTCAAAACAAAAGAAAGACAGGGAGACAAGTATGAATTACGCACACTAGCATGACATCCTCCACTGTTGAAGCAATGGGTCCAATAATTTCCACAGTCCCAGAATCACATAATGACCTGCAAAAAGAGACTGAAAATTCAAACATAATCAGAAAATACGGGCATGCGTAGTGAAAAATTTTGAGTATTTGGAGGGAACGCCTGGGAACTCTCATTCTCTGTATAATGAGCTGTAACTCCTATTTAACAGTGACAGACAAATGAATTTGACATTCTAGGACGTTTACGTGGATACAAAACCGAAAGGAGAAAGCAAAATAAAATTCTGCATTTGAGAGGTTAAGGGCTCTCTCAGGAAAAAATTATTCCTTCGCCTTTCACTTTACCTCCAGCTCTTAAACTTAGTTAGCAGCATTTCTTTCTCTTCTCTATTCCTCCCCCACATCCATGTACCATGTGATGTTAGTTACGCTCACGCAAGGGACATCTCATTGTGTGAGACCTCATCATTCCTCTCACCCCCTTTTTGTTCTCTCCAATCCTTCTTCTATATATAATGGACATGGATCAATCAAATACTTTATTGAAGCACCATTCAGACATGTTTCTGTCTGGAATACTACATACAAGTTTCATGGGCAAGAGATGATAATGTTTTTTGTACAAATTTATGTTAAAGTGCTCCAACCTACGAGACAATGCAATCTGCTCAATTACCCCCGTTGTAAGATGTAAGAAAGTCCCCTCTATGACCAAAAGTCATAACAGATATAAATATTCTGTAAGAAAATATTCTTATTGATAAGAAAGATTTTATCAAGTGAAAGAATAGCATGTACAAGGAGAGCAAAAGCAGAAACAAATACAAAGGAGCTCTGCTAACCCATGTTGTGCTAAGATAATTCTGAATGAAAGAGGTTAAGAAGAATAGAGAGAATTGATGGAAGAACAGAGAAGATAGGAGAGCAGAAAGGAACTGAGGAAATTTGAGAGAAGGAGAGGTTGAGAGGAATTGAGAAACACAGAGGATTCTGAATAATACACTTTACTCATCATAGAGATAGGATTACAAGTCAAATGACTTAGTATTTATAGGCTCCTTAATGAGATCCCAATGACTATCCTCCTATAACTAACTCTAATGAACTAACAGTAACTAACCTCTCAATATTAGAATTACACAATAGCCCCTCCTAAAAGACCTTTGCCCTCAAAGGTCATGTACAGCAATTTGAGGAAACTTATGCTGAAATATTAAAAAAAGAGCATTAAACTCTTAGAAGGTACTGTTCATTGTTCTTTGTCACTGTTCATGTTACTGTGCACTGCCATTAGTCACTGTTGATGCTGAATAAATGGAAATAATTAGCTCCATACTTGAGCCCAAAAGCATTTTTAATAATCCTCCTCTGTACCACAGAAGAACAAACCAATGGGTAGGGAGGAGTTGAAGACAGAGAAAAATCCAATGATTGTAATGTCTTTGAGTGACATTCCACCCACACAATTACCCCAATTCAGAAGCTGGTTCAGGTTCAGTAAAGATAAAAGGTACAGCTTCTGTGTCTGAAGTTTCGACCTACATGAGAAATTAGGTTTTGACTTTTCACCCTTTATAGGACCTAGCCACACGAATGTGTGAATAGAAAAAATAGGGAGTTCCTGTTTCTTTCTTAAAACTTGAACTCATATATTGAGTATTGGTGATAGCTGGCATCTACTAAAACTCCGCCCACTTGATAAGGAGGGATAGTTGTCTTTGACCCATGTACCCACGTGTGCAAACCCCAGTAAAAACCCATCAAAGCTTACTCTCACATGGCCTTCCTGTTGTGAAAAGTCCACCCAAGTCCTGTACCTATGAGAAGTCTAGAGTCTTTAAATGGGTATGGCTAAGACATACACATGTTGATAAGAAGACAAAAAGGAGTGGTGGTGATGGAGCAAACAGCCATGAAGCATTTGAAATTATAGAATCAGACTGCAATGGAGAAACCAAAGAAGACAGCCATAGTGACACCCGAGAAACAAGAGACAGCCACGGAGAAGCTTGTGTTGGAGGCAGAAAAATAGAAATAGGTAACAACGGGTTGATCAAAAACAGAGGCGAAGAGAAGATTGGTACAGATGGTGACAATGGCTCTACAAGTGGGCAACATTGATGTTTCAAATAGTGTCGGTTACCTAAACTCAAGTCAGGATTGACGGTTTTACCCACACCAGCAGTGAAAGAGCTTAAGAAGCCATATTTAGATATGCTCGAGCCTACTTTACTTTCCAACTCGCACAAAGAAACCTTCTTGAAATCACTGCCATCATCTTGCAATTCTTGGCATTCTTGCACTGGTAAGGAAGGCCCAACTTCAACTTCAATCATTCTAGTTGCGATCTTGTAGAGGGGTACTTCCTTCATCATTCTCCAAAACCTTTCATGACCCATAATTATCTTGAAGTGCCTGTGCCTTCTTTTATGTCTGACGCATAACCATGATTTCTTGCATTCTTGCAAGACTTCTAGCTTCTTGCATTGTTCTTGGTTTGAAGAGACGCACTGGTTCTACAAGTTTTGCCTTGAGCCTAGTTACATACGTAGAAACTAAATATTTTTCTTGCAATTTGAATCCACTAGTATGGCTATCAAAGAGTTCATTGAATTCTTTCATGCTCCCTCATTGACAAAGCCACATTTGGTGGTCATCCTCATATTCTTGGAATGAATGGTGTGCAATGGCTAAGGATGACTGGCTTTGATACCACTGTTGTGAAAGAATAATTCAGGATGCTAGAGAGAATAGAGAGAGATAGGAGAGATTGGAGAGAAGAACAGGAAGATTGAGAGAAGAGACAAAGAGGAATTGAGGAAATTAGAGAGAAGGAGAGGTTGAAAGGAATTGAGAAACATGGAAGATTCTGAATAATACACTTCACTGATCAGAGATAGGATTACGAGTCAAATGACCTAGCATTTAGAGGCTCTTTAATAAGATCCTAACAACTATCCTCCTATAACTAACTCTAATGAACTAACAATAACTAACCTCTCAATATTACAAGTACATAACAATACCACCCTCCCAAAAGACCTTTGCCCTCAAAGGTCATGCACAGCAATCTGAGGGTATTTTTAACTGAAATATTGAAAAGAGGGCAATAAACTCCTGGAAGATACTGTTCACTGTTCTCTTTACTTCACTATTCACTTCACTGTTCAGTGCTTGAATAAAGTGAAGAAACTCATTCAGACCTGACCTGACAGCATTTTAATCAATTCCCCTCTATACCACAGCAAAACAATTAAATGGGTAGGAAGTAATTAAATGGTTGAAGCCCAGCAAAGAACTTCCTTCATTAATGGACTTATGCAAATAATATCGGCCATGTTATTTGACCTTTGAGCCCATATATTGACAGTGGATGATAGCTGGCACCTACTAAAACCACAAAAGCAATAACCATTTGAAAATAGAGGAAATCTGTCTTTGACCTATGCACCCACGTGTGCAATACTTCTGCCAAGCTAACACTTATCCATCTGCCCATTCACGAGACCTTAGCCGTGCTGCTACCCATTTTGTCCTTTTCCTCCTTCTTTCTTACTTTTAGTAGTTGGTACCACCTTTGCAGGTCCCACCAATAGAAAGAGATGGGTGCCGTTGACTTTTCAGCACTTAAGGCACATCCCCACATGATCTTCTGAGCAGTGGAAGCAGAAAACTCATCCAGAAAAATAATGACACAGAGTATTTCAAGAAAAGAAGCAGACGGCAAAGATTGCTTTGAAGATACAAAAACAGACTGCAATGGAGATACTAGAGAAGACAGCAGTGAAGACGACAATCTTTCTAACCTTCTTTGGCTTTACTCAAGTACTCCACCCCTTCATCTGAATTAGGTCTTTAAATGCAAGCGACGGCAAACATGTTTGCGAACTCCAACTGCAAAAGACTCTGAACCAATGTTTTGAAACCCGGACCGGACATCAAACCGGAAAGAGCAACGGGTCGCGGTTTTCATAGTCTAACCGGTTAAACCGGCGATCAAACCGGTGACATAAAAATTAAATAAAAAATAAAATTTATATGTGCAATTATATAAATAAAACATTAATTTGTTAATGGTGCTTGGGATTTCAACTCCAAAAGCTAGATACTTGGATCATTGGAGCTAGAGGTAGAGGCATGTCAATACAAGCTTATGATCTCAAAGGAAAATGTTGGAGCTAGAGGCATACTGTCATGTCATGACTCATAAGCTTTCGATCTCAATGCTAAATATTATATCTTTAAAGCTGGAGGCAGATGCTGGAGGAAAAGTTAGAGATTGAGTTTGGACCATGAAGGAGAGATTAAAAATTAGAGAAGAGAAGAAAGGAGAGAATTAGTGATTAGAGAAGAGAAATTGTGAATCTAAGCAATTTAGTCTAAATTTTTTTTTTTATTTTTTTTGGCTTTGACCCGGGTTGACCCGGGTCCAGTTCCCGGGTCAAATGCCAGATTGGTTCAATTGGTTGAACCAGACTGTTTACTTCATCGGGTGGCGATTAGTTGCTCTGAACAGCCCCATTTGCAAAACCTTGAACCCACTTCTTTGGAATCGAACTCACACCAATGCTCCTTCTTGATGTCACCATCTTGCATCAAGGGTTGTTGCACCCTCTCACACACTTCTTGAGAGGAGACTAAAGAAGGCCCACTATCTCTTCGAGCGGCAGAGGGTTCTTGCTCATCATTAAAGAAGACTAAAGAAGACCCACTAGAGAAGACTAAAGAAGACCCACTATAACTAACTCTAATGAACTAACAGTAACTAACCTCTTAATATTACAATTACATAACAACCCAAGAACTCCCTCAAATAAATCATGACCATGAACCCAAAGAAGTCACGAAAAAAATACTCTACTACTCTATTCCATTAACAGTGCAATGGGAACCTCTTGCTAAAATTCCACAAATTTCATTCTGTCCATAAAGCCAACAAGCCTGCATTAACATCAAATCTCCAGAGATCTTACATTCCTTATCTCTACCAAAACATCTAAATCTGATCAAAAAAAGTTATGTAAGGCTGGACAAACTTCTTGTTTAATAAAATTTCCAATAAATCTATCCCACAATTGGGACAGCTTCACAGTTTACATGAAGAAGATTGTTCATTTCTGACTTCCAAAATCTCATAACATATCTGAGAATAGCTTTTTAAGGTCTAATAGTCTAGGGAATATTATTCATACTAATTTTATTGATTATCACAATTCAAACTATAGCCTTCACCTCAAAGTAAAGATTTACATCAAAAAAATCCAGAGGAACAAATCCAAGCATTCTCACCCAAATTCCTAAATGAAATTGAAGATTTCGATAGTCTTACCAAGGACTAAAATGTCTTGTTAGACCATATATAATGCATATTGGAAAATCAAATCATATGGTCCATCACATGGGGTCAGAAATTACCCTTTCATATCTGTCCGTCCATATGTTGTCTTTAACCCCAACTACACCACAAAGGGAAGAAGGAATGCGGACTGAACCTGCCTTTCTCATTCATTTCCAGGCAAACATTAAAATCAGAACAGATGAAATATGGGGATAAATCATTCAATTTTACATGTTGTATTTGCACAACCTCCCCCATCAGTTCCCAGTGCAGCAGGACAAAGTCCAGAAGCTACAATTGCAGCTGGACCTGAAGAAGATCCACCAGTATACCTATCAGGTGCATGAGGATTTCTTGTAGTTCTGCACTTCAAGAAAGTTAAATTGAAAAACCAGCCATCATGATAAAATTTTTGATACAGAACATGAGGAAACTATGAGCAGACTAAACGCTCAAGAAACAGAGTAGAAGATATATTAAATTTACAAGTGTACTACAACAACAAAAACAACAAGCAGCCTCATCCCACTAGGTGGAGTCAGCTACATGGATTATATAAAAAATTTACAAGTGCACTGAAATGTGAAAATTACTAATAGCTGACATTAAAAGTTAAATAACATTAATAGCAATTAAAAGTGTGGAAAGATCTCTCTTAAAATTTTTGAATGGCTTTGACATATTTTCTCTGCCATCTTGTATTTTGCACCCTTTACAGTGTAAAGCTCTTGATTGATTTGACAGTAAGCAAAGTGAATATGTAGGGAACGAATATAAAAACAATTTGCTTAAAGCTGGCAGTTATGGAAAAAGAAATTTTCACAAGATAAACAGAAAATGCTATACTAATATTAGCTTTGCTACCATTGAATTTTTAATTAAAAAAAAATCTAACCTTCAGCTATCTAGGTGATCAGATACATCATACATGCATTTATTCTACAACTCCTGATGGAACAGAAAATAACAGGACTCAAGCATTTAGCCTCTCCACTTAATTAACTTTTGTCCCAATCGAGCTGAAGAATGATTGAGTTATGCTTAGATTCCAATTACATCCCAAACAAGGCTAGCAGAGACACTCCAATACTTCATAAATTTAATTAGACTAAATAGTCTCTAAAGCTGTCTGATTTCGTCATTGTAAAAGATCAAATTTTGATGTTGAGATGGCATCCTTAATTAAGTTAATCATAATTCACCTAAGATAAAGTCTCACCCGTAATTAGGATTATTCCCTGTCGTTCCCATGCCCAACTCATGCATATTTGCCTTCCCCACAAATATGACGCCACAGCTGCGCAGCCTTGAAACACAGACAGCATCCTTTTTAACAGTGCGTACCTCATGCATCCATGTAGTAGCACCTATCGCCACCATGAAATAATATAAATATTTTTTATATTTATTCACTAAAAGAAATATTAACTTACCCTTAGATGGATGGGGGTAGCAATCTATGTCATCCTTAATGGCCATGAAAATTCCATCCAAAATAGATAATGGATTTCCTATGCAATCAGATAAAAGTCAAGGAGGTGGGTTAGGTCTTAGGCGATTCACTATCAATTCCATCACATGTCGGCATAATCACGATTAAAGCATACTGCAGCAACACTATCTTTGTTAGAACCAAACAGTAATACCTGCTTCAAATCTGTGAGTAGATGCAGCTGCCTGCCTCCTGACTTCCTCAGCATCAAAAGATATCAATAGTGGTTCCCGGGGTTTCTTATTACTGATCTCCTCCATAACAGAAATGATATTCTCTGCTACCTATATATCCAAACCAGAATAATTTACTTACAATATAGCTATAAATGAATAAAATAAAAAAGATGTTCTCAGCAAGTGAATACCACTAACCATAGATGGTGTTACTTTTCCTGATCGATAAGCATAAGCATAATCACGTATTTTCCAGTACCGAAATGGCAAAGAGGAATTCCCCCAGCATGCAGCAGGATCATAATGCGGAAGACAATTCAACGCAGCTTCAACTCGATCATCAGGTCTCCCATCTTCATCAAGAATGACAACACCAGGTTCCTTTTCTGAAATTAAATCATAGTATTAGGGGGCAGTATAAATCATACATCTCCAGTCCAATGTAAACTATTTGAAGAAGTTAATTCGTGGCACTTTTCTCTAATATTAATAAATTACAATAATCCTAATTAGCCCAAAGATTGACAAGAATCTAATTTTGATAAAGTGAATTCAGTTCAAAAAAAATATTCGCCATTCTGTCAAGAATTATGAAGTTGTATAATCAAAGAAAAATTAATATGCCTTCCCAAAAGCGCTGTAAAATGACATCAATTACTAACATGCAGAAGAAGCTACCTTGAGGTGGATATTCAGGTTTGAACATGGGTTCTTCTGGTATCACAGTGTTCCGCAACAACTATTGATTGCAAATAAGTAAAACATTTAGTCAATTCACTTTGAAACTGTCAAGCTCACTCTACTCATAAACCATAGCTCCCCCGGTGAAATTTCACAGTTTAAACCCAGCAAATGAAATGCATGAACATGGAACACCTATTTGGAGCGAAAAACAAACAAACCAACCTCATCAATCTTATTCGACTTCCGCAGTGTAGATATTATCAAAGGCCCTATCAGTGGTGCTTCAACAATCAGAACAAAGAACCTAAACAGGAATCCAGTCAAGTGTGGAGCTGCAAAACAAGGAAAAATGCTAACAAATATGAGCAGAATATCCCATTCATCGGCCCTTCACACTATATTATCGTTGAACTAAACCAAAAAATTCATCCGAAAACGAGAATTAATGACCTTGGATACCCTCTTGTTCATATTTGACAGTGGATAAGTCAACCTGTTCCACTGGCACCATCACACGCTTTTTCCCCATCTTCAGCTACAGAATCACAAGGCTTTAACCTGTGAAGAAGTAGTTGTTTTCTGAAATACGATTTCCATCGTTGATTAAAAAAAAAAATAGAGAGACATTCCAACGATCACAGAGGATACAGTACTAAAATCACGTCACTGAGAGTAATTATTTCAAAAACAGCGCGAAATTTAAAAAATAAATAAATAAATCGACTGAAACGCAATTTACAGCTCGCCAGAGTGGCGAAAAAACTTCAGAAACATGAAAAGTCCCAGACAGAGAATTCATGAAAGACGCACAAGCAAACAAATTATATACCACAAGGAAAATCCAAATAAAAAATTGAACTAGCTTCAAGTTCGTGACATTCAGTAAAAAAAACTTTCCAAAATGAAGCACACACACTATCACAGAAGATCAAACACCATTATTACGAAGCACAAACCTGGTAAGGAATGGCTCCTAGTCTCTGAGAATTAGCGATGAAAGAGGAAGAGAGACTATAGAGGAAAATGAATTGGTCAAACGAGGTAGGATAAGAAGGAAGCATTCGTTAATATCGAAGTGCATGCGAAGAAGAGGTAATAGTGATTTCATCTCCATCAATGGGCAAGCCAACTCATAACTCTGCTCGGATCAAACTAACTCATATCCTATTCGATTTCGTATTCATGGGTGGTTGGTGGAAATTTATGGCTTAGGCTGAGAACCCGACGATATTTCGTATGTGTGAAAAAACAGGTTGTTTAAGAATCTGCCCAAACGCACCAAACGGAGAAGGCAAAAGCCAACATGGCAGTTGAGATAATAATTGCCGCTTTGAAAACACAAAGTAAAATTAATTTTCTGACACGGCATACATGAGTGTAATTTAAAAAATAACTAATCTAAATTTGGCTCGATTATATAATTTTCAAATAATTTTAGAAAATTTATTTTTAAGTTTTTTCAATTTTATTTCTTATTAGTTATTATAAGACAAATAATATTTTATGTGAAAATAAATCACAACTGTTTTAAGACAATTAATAATAATTTCTAATATTTGAAATGGATTGCACAAACTTTTTTAATATTGTCAAAATGTATGAGAAATTTGTTTTAAAATGTATGTTTCGCTTGAATCTAATGATTAACTTTTTATTTTAATTTAAATATACTTTTTAGAACTTATTAAAAATAAAATTACTAAAAGTAAAAATCATGTCTTAGAGTATTTTATTTTAATAATCAATATGAAGTATAATATTGAGAGGGAGTGGCTCGTAAGTTACACGAAAAGTGTCTCAGTAACTTGCATGATGTGATTTGCTCTCTTTCTATGGAGAGATTAAATCCCTCAAAATATCGAGGACAAAAATTAATTTTTTTAATCAAATTTTTGTGTATGCCAGAGCTGATTTTTGGATTTTCAATCAATTGTTTAAGTTGTTGACCAAAAAAAATCACTTATTTAAAAGATAAAAGATAGAATATCTCTATCACTCACACCAATTTTAATTTATTTCATTTTTAATATTTTTCTTTCAAGATTCACAAACAAGATTGGATCATCATCTTCTTGATTAATAAATCTAAAATTTTGATATATATGTAGAATATTGGATTGTAATTTGAATGTGTGTATGTGTTATATTTAAAACCTTCTATCGTTAAAGACATTATGTAATGTAAATCCTGTCATATGTATGTAAACTAAGATGCAATTCGATGGAGCCTCCCTGACCACAATAATTTTATGGGAAGAGACAAAAATAACACGAGAAGAAAGAATCAAGGCAAGTTGGATGGTTACATCAAATAATATATTTAGAGAGACTGAAAAGTTGGCTTGTCAAATTCATAATTTCTTGACACCCCTCTGCAAAGGCGTACTAGTTCGTTTTTGTCTTCTATCCAGTTTTAAATTAATTAACTTCATATTGAAAAGAAAATAAAGAAAAATGCTGTCCGTCTCTAAAAAAATTGAGACTTGACTTCTCTTTATTTTTTTTCTTCTTTACTTTCTTTTCACTTTCCATCTCAATCGTTAAATTTATTTTTAAATGGTTGAGAATTGATGTTACATAAAATTATTATTAAAATATAAAACTTTACAAAAAATAAATATAATAATAATTTTAATATACAAAACTTATTAAAAATAAAATTACTAAAAATAAAAATCATGTCTTAGAGTACTTTCTTTTAATAATCAATATGAAGTATAATATTGAGACGGAGTGGCTCGTAAGTTACACGAAAAGCGTCTCAGTAACTTGCATGATGTGATTTGCTCTCTTTCTATGGAGAGATTAAATCCCTCAAAATATCAAGGACAAAAATTAATTTTTTTAATTAAATTTTTGTATATACAAGAGCTGATTTTTGGATTTTCAATCAATTGTTTAAGTTGTTGACCAAAAAAAATCACTTACTTAAAAGACAAGAGATAGAATATCTCTATCACTCACACCAATTTTAATTTATTTCATTTTTAATATTTTTTTTAAAGATTCACAGACAAGATTGGATCATCATCTTCTTGATTAATAAATCTAAAATGTTGTTATAAATGTAGAATATTGGATTGTAATTTGAATGTGTGTGTATGTGTTATATTTAAAAACCTTCTATCGTTAAAGACATTATGTAATGTAAATCCTGTCATATGCATGTAAACTAAGATGCAATTTGATGGAGCCCCCCTGACCACAATAATTTTATGGGAAGAGACAAAAATAACACGAGAAGAAAGAATCAAGGCAAGTTGGATGGTTACATCAAATAATATATTTAGAGAGACTGAAAGTTGGCTTGTCAAATTCATAATTTCTTGACACCCCTCTGCAAAGGCGTACTAGTTCGTTTTTGTCTTCTATCCAGTTTTAAAGTAATTAACTTCATATTGAAAAAAAAAATAAAGAAAAATGCTGTCCCGTCCCTAGAAGAGTTGAAGCACCAAGACATGGCAATAATATTGGGAATACTTACAAACCTCCTATGCTCTTTGGATTGGGTTTCTCTCCTTTATTTTTTTCTATTATTTTTAAATTATAAATTTGAACGGTTTAAATTAAATTTATATTTTTAAAAATTATTAAATTTAAATTTATCAAATTTAATTTGACGGTTTAAATCTATATTGATTTATTCTTTTCTCTCCTTTGCAAGGAAGAAAATTCAAGTCCATGCTCTCCACCCCTTCTCTACATCTTGATAAAATTTGAGTCGTTCAAATTTAATTTAAATAATTTAGATATAAATTTTTTATTTTTATTTTGTATTTATAAAATTAAAAATTATTGGAATTATTAAAAAATTTAATAAATCTTTTAGATCATCAATTTGAACAGTTTGAATTTAATGTGGATGATGTAAATCTAATATTTAATTTTTTTATAATTTTTTAAATTGACTATGCAAACTTACTAATGGTGTATATTTAATATCAATTTTTTTAATTTCTATAAATTTTTATTTTGTTAATACAATATTAAAATAAAGATAATCTTTCAACATGTATTTTTCAAAAAAAATTAAGAAAACATAAGTTAAAAATTTGAGGCACCAAAAAAACAAATGGCAATGTTACTCTAATTCGCCAATGGGAGGAGTGTCATCATATGAAGAGAGCAGAGAAATCAACTTCAGTCTTCTCAAAAAATATATTTTGAGACATGCACGAAAAGTAATTCGTTTGTGCTTGGAGCAATTCTTCAATTACGGAGGAAGGGCTTTCGTAGATGTTATTTCTTCATTTTAATTTACCGATAGTTTCGTCATTTACCTTACCAAGTTATTTTCATTTTAGTTCCAAATGCCTACAGCGTATTATCCTATTTTTTTAAAAAATTGTTTAATTAAATTGCCACAAGGGTTCTCTATTTAAATTCTCTCACTTTTCTTTTGTGTGAGATCTCACACTCTTTATTATTATTATTATTATTATTATTATGGGTAGTTCTGATGCTTTTCCTTTGACCACAAAAAAAGTTTCGACACTTTCCCTCTATTCTCATTGAAAGTATCACATTTTTAAACATTTCAACAAAATTTGAACTACGTGCTCTTATTTATTGTTTTTTTTATATTAAATATCTAGATTAACAAAATATTATAAATTATATATTAGCATAAAAAGAGACAAAGAAATGAGATATGACCAAAGCAGCATCTAACTTGAAATTTATAGTAAGTATTTGGAATTAAAAATAATGATGACAATACAAGATAAGAAATTAAAATATGAACGTTCAAATTATAACACAAAAACCTTGTAGAGTAAATACATGATGAAGTGTCCAAATTGTGGAACTAAGTCCACAATATTTGAGAAGTTTGAATTATAGTAAGTAAGTATCATAAGCATGTCTCATATTAACATAGATATATAGCATTTATATGATTAAAAAAAAAAACTTCACTGTCTTGCATTCTTTCATAGAAGAACCCAAAAAAAAAAAATTGAAGGAACTAAGTCCACAATATTTGAAAAGTTTGGATTTGTGCATTAGTTTTTAATTGCATTGGAGACTTAAATATTCAGAATAACATAATTCTGAATAATAAATTAGGTTCATGTCCTTGCATGTTATCTATTGAAAGTAATCTACTAATCCAATGTTACATCTTGTTCTATAATTTTCTCTTTGCTTTTCCCTTTTTAGATTCTCAATAAACATGAACTATCTTTTCAATATGCATATACATCTTGAAAAGTAGTTATGCATGTAACTTTTCATCACCTTCACTCTAGCTGTGGATAGCTGTGGATTTGTGTGTAGAGGTATAAATGATGGTTATTCACTCTACTATTGGTAAGGAGAAGTTTATGAAGGCACAAATTACACTTGTTTCACCACGTTTTGCATAAAATGCATATATAAAATAAAACAAAAATAAAATTCCTATGTGGTGATATGTGTGGTTCAACCTTCCACAATTAAATTACAACTAGTGTTCAACTCGTGCGATGCACAAGGAAGAAGTCGTCTAATTAAATTAAATTATTTTTAAAATTACCTTTTCATAAGATAAGTTATATTGTAGAACATTTTTGTTATTACATACTAATAATTTGAAATCAACATTTATGTTATTTAGGTTTTTTTAAAAAATTAAGTATGTGGTCTTTAGCTAGACTCTATTATCTGCAAACAATTGAACAAACAAATGAAAAATATAAATGATATAATCAATTAATCACAACTAATTATGATAGACAAGTATAGCCTATAAGAAAGAAACTTAAATAATTAGTGTAAGGTATAACCAAAAAAATTATAGCCCATTTTCAATGTTTTCAAATATATATTAGAATACAACATTGATCATTTTTTAAGATGCCTTATTACTTTTATCATGAATTATTATCTATAGGCCTTTTGTATATAAATTTATTTTCAATTAACCAAACTAATTTAAAGAGGAACTTATAATTGTTACTTTCTCATTTCATTAGTAAAATATTAAATGAGTTATCAATGTCTCGTATTATTACTTGTATTTCATGAAATACATAAAGGAATTTAATCATTATGATTAAATTAATGTATATGTAATGCAATTTAATCATATTTGTAATGCACGATTGTCAAAACATAATTAATTTCACTTACATTTTCCTTTGCCATCTCTCCTTATTAAAAGTTTTCAATCTCATTTACTTTGCTTGAAAATTCAATTGATTAAAATATTTTCTCTCCATTTTATTTTATTTAATTTGAGAGTTAATATCCCCATGCTTACACAGGTAATTTAAAAAACTTTA